TCTTGTTCTTTCAGGAATGCTCTAGTATTTAATAGATAGGGTAGTCGGGTATATATAAGAGGGGACAACGTGACGCGGTAGAGTGTGTATACATAGTGAGTAATTGAACTGCAGTCAGAAGTATTGTTGACGTTCGTTGATTAGCGTTTGTTTTAACGCGATTGTTGAAGTTGAGTGTATCGGTAAAGTTATATTCGGAAAGAATAAATCAGTTTTATTAAGAAAGGACTTGTGTCGCTTAAGTTTCGTCGGAACGAAGTTACGGAAAATTAATTAACAAACGGAGACGTAACAGTATAATGACGTTTGACGATTTTTGTAGACTTAGGGAAACGATCTTTCTTTGTGTGTGTGTGCTGTTATTTTGATACGCCATTTGACGCACTTTGTCTTCTATTGTTGATGCTACTGTCGTGTGTTTTCTAGATACTCACATCCGGACCGGACTTGAAATCCTGGGACAAATTTTGTTGGGGGTGGGGGGTGGAGGGGTTCAGAACTCAACTTCATAAATAAGTTGATAATATTTATTAACTACAGTTTCAGAAATATATAAATACAAGCGATGAGTAAATAATATAGAAAGTACCAATTCTAATATTTATAAGTATACAGCACCGACAACGAATTTTGTTTGTTTGTTAAATAGTTGAACAAATGTTTTTGAAAGAACGTGTTCATGAAAAATTGAAAAATAACAGATTTATACGAAACGATTAAAAATCACCGTTGTCATAGTAACACAGTTGCAAACATGTGTTTTTTCAATGAGACACCCAGCTTTTGATTTGGTGGCCTTATTCGATTTGAATGGAGGGATTGCACCTCTTAATCCAATTCTGGCCACATCATTCGTAAATTGTGGGGTGATACACACGTGATGAATAACAGGAACCGTACGATCGTGGGCGTGCTTTTGGTCCTCAGACCTGGGAGGGTCAAATGCTCACTGGGCCCTCCAGTGGCACAGACTGTATGTTTGTGGACTTATAACGCTAGAAACCGGGTTTCGATACTCGTGTTGGGCAGAGCACAGATAGCCCATTGTGTAGCTTTGTGCTTAACCACAACAAACCCTCTCTCTGCTCACTGGAACGTTATTACCATTAGCTAATAAAATGTTGTTTTTTCGGATTCACGCGCATGCGCGGTACGAGTGTCCGAGGTTTCCGCACACACGAGTGGTCCTTTTCTGGCCATGTCCACGAATAGAATAGCAGAATTTTCCCTTTTTAGCACTTCACGATATCGCTTTACTTCGTCGAAAGTACAGTAATTATCTGACAAGCACTTGTATAGTTTGTACGGAGGATATATATATATATTGAAATATAATAACCCTCTTCAAACGAAACTGAAAGTATATGTAACTATTGGTTGTTTGTTTGACCAGTAGTAGGTAAACTTAGTACATACATTGAGTGAAATAGAATTAATGCTGAGAGATATTTAGGTCTTTGCTTATTAGTTTTCTAGTATACTTAATAAGGCGTTTTTATTTATTTATTTTTTTAAATGTTGTCTTGATCTATCTAGAAGTCGGGGAGGAAGAAGAGGCCGACATCGAACCTGACCCTCCTAGGCCTAAAAGACCCGATCCGGAGAAGAGAAAGAACCACTAACACAATATTCTTATACAGTTTCACAAACATCCCTACGTTGTCAGACATATACATCTGGTTTCAACATAGGCCTCCGCAGGATTTATTTCAGGTGGGGGCGAGCCCACAACCTGCGGAACACGGGGAGCGTCGTTGTTTGCGGGGGGTGGGGCTCTTCCAGAAAAAATTGAACATCCGATGCCTGTAAAAGCTATTCTGTAGTATTGTGAATCTTGTGAACACGTGGAAATGAACCAGACAATGACGGAAACGATGGTCGTCAGGAAATTTGGAAGCGAGAAAAGAAGATTGCAGAGTTCATCTGATGAGTGAAGTGGTAGTAGCCATCGTCTTGAAGTTTGTATTCGATGCTCTGGCTTATCTATGTACACCTAATTTCGTCAGTTATATTTGAATACATTTGAAAATAAATTATTTAAATAAGTGTTCTTCTTTAATTAGGCCCGGCATGGCCAGGTGGATAAGGCGCTCAACTCACAATCTGAGGGTCGCGGGTTCGAATCCGCATACCACCAAACATGCTCGCCCTTTCAGCCGTGGGGGCGTTATAATGTGACGGTCAATCCCACTATTCGTTTGTAAAAGAGTAGCCCAAGAGTTGGTGGTGGGTGGTGATAACTAGCTGCCTTCCCTCTAGTCTTACACTGCTAAATTAGGGACGGCTAGCGCAGATAGCCCTCGTGTAGCTTTGCGCGAAATTCAAAAACAAACAATCTTCTTTAATTTCCAAGAGGGGAAAAGGCCCCCTTCTGCCCCATCCTGAGGATACCCAAGGCTTGCACTGATGGTTTCGTCGGTAAAATACTCTTTTTATTACATCATGAGGTTCAGGTGTGTATCCAAAATACACTCTGAGATCCGTGTTATTGGTCGCTGGATCGGTATAAAGACCTATAGGAGGGTCATGTTATTTGTCTCCAGGAATCGGGATTTAGGTCTTGTACACCTGGGAGAAAAACCTTTTCCTCAGGTATTGGGTTTTGATATAACAACTAAATTTCCCGCCAGTTCAAAGAACCTTGTAAAACACCTCGCGTGGTATTTGTGCCCATACTTAACCTTGTCTGACAACTTCTTCGTCACGCTATGCGCGTGCGTATGGTCACATTTTTGCCATTCTTCAACGTGATTAGGGCTGTGGGATGGCAAGAGAGTGAACTTTCCCGCAACAGAACTGTTCTTCCGGGGACGTTTAAGAAAGATTTTCTTCGATCCCCTGACCCTATATTTTTAGCAGTAGAGGCCCTAAATGATACGTTATACTAAGATGTTGAGGGTTAACATAATAAAGTTATTTGTTTTAATGAAAGTATACATTTGTTCTGGTGTGTTTTTCAACCTTCTGTACCCAGTGCAACTTTGACGTGCATTATTCGAAAAACTGTGTTGAAGGAGAACTAACTTTATTAACTTGTTGTACATCTACATGTAACCGTTACTCGAACACTGCATGTAATATATACACCGTGTAATGGTATACAAACTTACAACCCCAAACATATACACCGTGTAATGGTATACAAACTTACAACTCCAAACATGTACATAGTGTAATGGTATACAAACTTACAACCCAAAACATATACATAGTGTAATGATATACAAACTTACAACCCCAAACATATACACCGTGTAATGATATACAAACTTACAACCCCAAACATATACACTGTGTAATGATATACAAACTTACAACCCCAAACATAGTTTGTATATCATTACACAGTGTCTTACAACCCCAAACATATACACCGTGTAATGGTATACAAACTTACAACTCCAAACATATACATAGTATAATGGTATACAAACTTACAACCCCAAACATAGACACTGTGTAATGATATACAAACTTACAACCCCAAACATATACACCGTGTAATAGTATACAAACTTACAACCCCAAACATATACACTGTGTAATGATATACAAACTTACAACCCCAAACATATACATAGTATAATGGTATACAAACTTACAACCCCAAACATATACATAGTATAATGGTATACAAACTTACAACCCCAAACATATACACTGTGTAATGATATACAAACTTACAACTCCATACTCCAGCATGGTCAGGTGGTTAGGGCGCTTGACTCGCAATCTGAGGGTCGCGGGCGATATATTAGCAAACAAGCATAGGAACATCGTGATATTCTCCATCTATACGATCAGAACTTTGATATTACATTTACAGTTTATATACTGTACAGCTTTTGTTATCGAGAGTCTATTAATGTCATTGGATATAAATTTAGGATATTTTTGTTATCTCTAAAAAAAAACAGATCTTTTCAAGGTTTTTGGTTTGCACTCGCCGGCTGCTGTTGCTAGGTTACAGTACGATGATCGCTTAGTTCAAGGTCGGTCATTTAGTGTGCCAGTCATTAGCCTTGACGTTACCATATTTAACTTTCCAGCAAACTTTTAATAAGGTTGTAGAAATATGCATGTAATAAACACGTGGTTATGGAGGAAACACTATCCTGTTAACTGTTACGTGTGATAATAATTAGTTGATTGTTAACATTTTAGTCGCGAAGTGATTAACGCAACACTTTTAACGTTTTATTTTTAGTGTTAATTTTGAAAAAATGTGATTTGCTTCGGGTTTTCAAACTAGAAGATTTCAAACAATGCTTCAGTCCCGACAGCCTGCAGTTCAACACTCGCTTTATTATCTGGGCCAAAAATAGTAAAGGAACATGACGTCATCCGTGCCAAGCACAGTATAATGTCATTTTCGCTTAACTACATGCACACAGAATTCTCTTAAATGTTTCTGTACAAAGTTAATAACTTTGGTTCGAAATAATAAAATCAAAAAGTCTTTGTGCTTTCATAAGAGTCTTTTTTTTAAAATACAAGTTAGTAGTAGGACAAGCGTCACCTGGGCGTCAACATAGTTATTAAAATGACATGTCCTAGTGAAATGCATCTCCACCTTCTATTTACTGTTTAATAACACCTACCAGGATGTCGTATCACGTCACCTAAATATTCTAGCCAATAAACTTTCAAATAAATGTACTATGATAAACCTCAGGATGTCGTATCCCGTCACCTAAAGATTCTAGCCAATAAACTTTCAAATAAATGTACTATGATAAACCTCAGGATGTCGTATCACGTCACCTAAAGATTCTAGCCAATAAACTTTCAAATAAATGTACTATGATAAACCTCAGGATGTCGTATCCCATCACCTAAAGATTCTAGCCAATAAACTTTCAAATAAATGTACTATGATAAACCTCAGGATGTCGTATCCCGTCACCTAAATATTCTAGCCAATAAACTTTCAAATAAATGCACTATGATAAACCTTTTCTACCCTATGTGTGTGTGTGTGTTTGTCACAATATTGTTATTTAGTAGGCACAGCTTTTGAGATTCCAGATTGACCAGACGTGGGCGAATTCTTTAAGCCTTCAATAAAAGCAGTGGTTAAATTGGGACTTTGAAAGAGGCAGAACTTCCTATTGTGACCCGGCGTGGATCAACTTTTATTTTCGATATGAAGACCAGGAGCGTTAATGGCTTGATTCTTCATGAGGCGGAACACCGTTCTGGACAGTTCAGCCCAAATTTAACCCCTGAAAAAAATACAATTTTTGTCACATTGTTCTATTTAAGAACGTCTAAATACGTTGTTGTTTTAACATTTTTTTTTCGTGCAAAATCCTGTCCACTTAAATAATGATAACGAAAGCGTTTTATTTCTTGAACATAAAGTTCTATAAGTTAGCTTAACTAACGCCTACTGATAGGCCTAAGTTCACAGTAGACGCTAATACAACAATTTCACTTACTTGGCAACTTCTTTTGTACGTCACGACACTTTCTCGTATCTGTAGTACTTCGCTAAAACACCAACTCAACATTCACTGCAGTAACAGAGGAACTGACTAACAAACTCGTTAACTCAATAATCAATCCGCCGCAACTATAACCGACTAGCTGATCAATCCTCAACTTTAGTTTAGTTTTAATTTGATATTGTTAAAATACACTTTCAAGAAATTTTCAAACGCTAAGCCTCGCGCCCATCACGCAACATCAAAAGATCATTTTAACCAAAAACAATACAAGCGTTTAAGTTACAGACATAGCCTACAAAAGTATGATAAAGCCTGTGATTTAAAGCCTGTTTACGAAAGGATGAAAAGAAAAACATTTAAAAATATATTACTAGCACTTTTTTTTTGAAACAATTTTTCAAATTGTGGGATCACAATAAAAACACTATCTCACTGATAGAATAATATTGTTAAAATGCTGAGATGATTGTACCGAGTAAATCTGATACACAATAATTTTGTCAAAATGAAAAAGGCTTAACGTAGTATATAGAGACACAAAAGAAACATGCCACAGGTTAAGAAACGTTCCATTTCACTGGAAGGATTTCGTTGTTGTCGACGTCTGACTGACGGGATCAGCATGTGGTGAAGATTATACTGGTGATGATTCTGATAGTGCTAGGCCTGATGTTAAAGATACGTCAAGATCGTTATTTGCATTTAACTTCAGTTCCTGAAACAAAAGTGCTGGTCATACCTGAGGTGCTTTAAGCCTAACAAAAAATGTTAAGAAACTTTACCTAAAAACAATTTCAAGCAGAACTAAATATTCTAGCAACAAATCCACACTGAATATACACTCTATAGTACCTGATTTTTTTTCTACACGAATTATTATTTGTTTGTTTGTAATTAAACACAATACTACACAACGAGCTACCTGTGATCTGCCCACCACGGGTATCGAAACCCGGTTTCTGGAGATAACAATGAACAGTGTTGACTTTCACTCCTAGGTATTTCTGGAGATAACAATGAACAGTGTTGACTTTCACTCCTAGGTATTTCTGGAGATAACAATGAACAGTGTTGACTTTCACTCCTAGGTATTTCTGGAGATAACATTGAACGGTGTTGACTTTCGCTTCTAGGTATTTCTGGAGATAACATTGAACGGTGTTGACTTTCGCTCCTAGGTATTTCTGGAGATAACATTGAACGGTGTTGACTTTCACTCCAAGGTATTTCTGGAGATAACATTGAACGGTGTTGACTTTCGCTCCTAGGTATTTCTGGAGATAACATTGAACGGTGTTGACTTTCACTCCTAGGTATTTCTGGAGATAACATTGAACGGTGTTGACTTTCACTCCTAGGTATTTCTGGAGATAACATTGAACGGTGTTGACTTTCGGTCCTAGATATTTCTGGAGACAACATTGAACGGTTTGTCTTTCTTTCCTGGAAATGTTTGGTAGCAGGTAGTAACTTCTGTTCATAGCTAAAAATTAACTCATTGTTTTAATGGGAGCGTTTCCATAGCGTGCGACTCTGAATTATAATACGTACGTCTCGAGCAAATTGAAGGTCATCTCGCTAGATGTAGAAATTTGAACTTGATTTCAATATTATTCTGACGCTCTAATATACCGAGAAACTTCATAAGTCCAGTGTTGTGCTTCGAGTATGTTTATTTTAGAAATCACGTGCCAGAGGCACTAGAAATCCTTGAGCTCGAGGAACGCGACAAACAACAACAAAAAAAATCATATAACTTAATTCACGTACTTTTAAAACTTACTTACTCATTACTTTTATTACACAGTGCCAAAAGTAATACCAAGAAACTATAAACTTGCAAATATTCTCTTGGAAACAGAGCCTCACTCAAGAGATTTCAAGATGATTAATAAGAAGAACTCAGCCAGTTTTATTTTTACAGTTAACAAACTTGACAGTTTTAAAACCACGAACCAGATGATTTCAAATAAGACATTGAAACGGTTCCAAGAAGTTTCCTAAACTAAGACATTGAATTACGTTTTCGTTAACCCAACTAATTATCACACCTGTTGATCACAGATTCCCAAGAAATTATAGAAGAAGAAAAACTTGTGATGTTTATTTCCTGTTCAATTTCTCGAAAGTAATGGTTTTTGGTTTCGTTTTTTTTTCTGTTTCATGACAGAATGGTTTGGTTTGTTTGTTTTCCATTTCGCGCAAAGCTACACGAGGGCTATCTGCGCTAGCCGTCCCTAATTTAGCAGTGTTAGACTAGAGGGAAGGCAGCTTAGTCATCACTACCCACCGCCAACTCTTGGGCTACTCTTTTACCAACGAATAGTGGGATCGACCGTCACATTATAACGCCCCCACGGCTGAAAGGGCGAGCATGTTTGGTGTGACGGGGATTCGAACCCGCGACCCTCAGATTGCGAGTCGAGCGCCCTAACCACCTGACCATGACAGAATGGATAAACAGAATAAACACTGATTTCACAACGAGACAGAGTGGCCACGAATCTTACCGGAACTTTCAAAGGATTTGTAGAAAATTATCCCCAAACCCAGAGCTACACGTGCATGCAAATAAGACTGCTTTAGCTATGACAGTTATCGGCATATTTTAATATATCCCTGGTTAGTCACTCTGTTTTATCTGGTGATTGTTATCTAACCAATATGTTTGATGATAAATCAGATGAGATATTCTGTCAAGATCATTCAATCGAGGCAACTTGCCCAACAAATTTTAAAATTAAAAATAGGATCAACATTTAAAATGCACCTAGTGACGATAGCGTAAACTACCGAAGTATGTAATATTGGCCAAATAAAAATGTTGTTGTGCATTTTAAACATTGATCCTATTTTTTAATTTTAAGATTATTTAAAGGTGTTAGATGTAGTAGTATTTTACTGTCTATACTAGTGGTTCTCAACCTGGGCCATATGCCCCCCCCCCAGGGGGCCACGCCATGTTTCTAAGGGGCCACACGTGAATGACGGAAAATTCAAACGTGACAAACATTATTTTTGGATAAGTAGTGAAATAGCTAACAAGAGTCTACGTAGAAACTCTGGGAGAAGCAAAGTTGGATTTTATCTCTTTTTCCTACATCTGGTTGAATCTGGTTTTAGTCCGGTGACTTATTTCCTACCAAAAATACGTAACCGCCTTGATGTTGTGAAGAGAGGTGATCTTCGCTTATCACTGACCACACTGTAACCGGACATTCAAAAACTTTCAAGTGTTCATCAGGCCCAAGGATCACACTGAATAAAATGTCAATGATTAACAGAATATTTTTTACTTGTATAACTAAACAGTATGTTACAAACAAAATGTTTAAAAACAATACAATATTGTAAAAATAATATTATAAATCAACAGTGTGGAAATAAAGTAACTTTTTCCTAAGTAACAACGTCCACAACGGATGGGGCCACAGAGATAAATCAAACTCACAAGGGAGCCCCGAAGAAAAAAAAAAAAGGTTGAGAAACACTGGTGTATACCATGGAGTTGCTACATCCATTTTTTGTAGCATCGTAACACCTGAAGTAAGTTATGTTCTAAAGTTTTTGCTATCCTTTATTACCATGTTACAAACTAAAGTGGTCTTACTTGAAATGTGTGTGTCGTAAGCTCCCGTGCAGTACACGTGCAGGTCTGGACAATTTGGCCGATAACGTATCGCGATGAGATTTTGGAAAGTTCTGATAAAAGTAATTATAACTGTCCAGAGTTGGTCGTACCAGTATTACATGGAGAAAATACAAACACTAGGGCTATTGTTATTGGTTAAAAATATATTAAAAAAAAACAACAACAACGAGAGGTTCATTATCACTAGAAAACTTTAGGAACATGAAACAGTCGTCTGCTTGTCACCATATAGCATTCAAGTTATAATAGTATTTATAGCAATCTATAGACAGAAGTTAGACATATACAATAAAATCCCGTACAATCAAGGTGTGATAACAATGGACAGTATAACACGCTCGTGCCCACCCATCCACCCACACACATTGACAAGTATTATAATAATAATAATACAATTATGGAGATAAGTAGGGATCGATATATCAATAACCTAGCTAGCTATAGTAACATAGAAATATTTAATACTACAAAAAGTATTGAAACAAGAAAGTCAAAACTACAAAAACTGAGTTACTTAATATCTAAAAGATTTTAATCCCTACGTTAGCTCGAACTAACATAATTACAGTGATTTGCCAGAGAAAGGATAAACATTTTAAGCAACTCAGTTTGTGTAGTTTTGACTTTCTTGTTTCAATACTTTTTGTAGTATTAAATATTTCTATGTTACTATAGCTAGCT